TCCTATATATATATATATATATATATATATACCAATATTGTTTTACGATGAAAAATGTTATCAATGACATTGGAGAAGGAAAAAAGGATTTTTGCCCGATTGACGCACCAAGAACTAGTGCATCGCAAATTGTCATTGGACCGGGTTAAACTAGTTCCACCACGATTAGTCCTCTTGCTCCAAGCTTCGATGACCTGCAATACGTCGAGAAGGAGTCTTGGCAGAAAAATCTCTGACGCTCAAGTCAATAGTCGCTCGTGATAAAATGATAATCTTATGTGCGTAAATATGCACTAAGAAATAAAGTAGAACCTGATCACCTTTTATGTACTATGGTGTCTTGTTGTCAAAGTAGAATTCTGATTAGGAAACATATCTATATTCCTAGTTTATCACGGCTCTAGAATGTGAAACTCATTAGCAAGATATACTTTTCATTCTTAACGTATTATCTTTCTTCTCACCATACGACACATAGGTCCTTAGGTCATCTGAACAACCTAGCAACCTACTTGTCATAAATTAGAACCAACGACTTCTATCTTCACGACTTCCAGGTCGTGAGGTCCCATCACATATGTAAGTTCCTGAGTGAGCCCAACATTCGATCTACTTATCAGGTCGACATGTACCTTGAGCTGCCTAAACGAACTCTTCGGTATCGAGATTGAGCTTCTTTGGACCGGTCTTACTCGAGCTAACACTCAAGCCGATCTAACGAGCTATTCTGGATGCTATAATAAGGGAAAAATTCAATTTTGGTAACTGACTTATACCATTTTTTTCACTTTTGTAACCCAAATCTATATCTATATAAAGAGTCGACCTATTTATTAAAAATAGTAAAAAGAAAAGTCAACAAGCATTTATTGCATTCTATTATTGGCAATTTTTATTTTCTTTTGTAAGTTTATTCATAAAAAAATCAATCAGCTATATATGCATCCTAAGTTCATCGAATTTGTGGATTTAATTTAGTATATTTCGACTGATGCATATAGTTTTGCAAAAGTCAAAATTCTTTTTTTTTTTAAAAAAAAAAAAAATTGATTATCACAAAATTGGGAATTTTGAATTAGACAAAATACTATCACATATATTTTTTACTAATTGCAACAGATTAAATGTTTATTAAAAAAAGAAGTTCATATAAACGGGGTTAAATTATGTAAAATTCGGCATGAAAATTTTGTAAAAGTTAAATTCTCTCATTTATTATTCAAAAAAAATATGTTACCATAAAATTGAGAATTTTGAATTAGGCAAAATATTATAACATGTATGTTTACCTAATTGCAACAGATCATGTTTATTAAACAATCAGATTGCATAGAAATCGAGCCAAATTTAGAATTGAAAATTAAAATTTAAAAATCCCTTATCATTTGGCTATTATTTTCTTTAGTTTGATTGTTTTAGAACATAAAATAGAGTCAAAATATTAATTTGTCTGTACCAAAAAAAAAAAAAAAAAAAAAACTGTACCCAAAAAAATTATTAATTTATAATTCAAAATGAAATCGGATTGGAACATCCTAAAAATTTGGGTTTTGTTTAATCCTCTAGGATACAAATTTAAAACTTATTGTATACACTTACAAAATAAATAATAATGACTGATACACTTATAAAATATCATATATATCCTGCTAAATAATTAATTGATTTATTTAAGCCTATCTCGAATCCTAATATAACTTGTGGTGATGGACGATGTTCCAAAAGACCAAACAAATAATGTTGTGTACAAATATTTGTTTAATAATATAAAAAGTACATTTTGTTTATTCTAATACATGCGTCTTACTTTCTTTCATCATCCAAATTTAAATATTTATCTTAATAAAACTAGATCATGCATTTAAATGTTTATCTTAAATAAAACTAGTCCGTACATCGCACGGGTACTGCACTAGTTTTCAATTTAATCAATATTGGTCCTAACGTTTCACAAATTAATCACATTTAAAAGCTAATGATTGCCGCTTTTCGCCGCCATCTATGGTATGTATTCTAAAAAAAAAATATAATAAATAAATAAAAAAAATCAGAT